AGGTACCGAGCCTATTTTCATGTTTTCACTACATTTTCAACAACGTATTTCAGATGTTATTTATTTAGGTATTGTCTATTCCTTAAAGGTAGCAGTGATGAAGTGTCATTAGTAACAGGCCCAGTGCAGGTGATGCAGATGGTAGCACCCCATGCTCAGCAGGAATGCAGCTGACCCTCAGATTTGTTGTGTTGCAATTTTGGCTGTAATTTCCAGCTGTGGGACCTTTGAGTCTGGTTCCCCAGCCCTTATAGCAAGGCTGAGGCTTCCTATGTTGTGTCCACTCCAACTCCCCTTGCTTACGCCAGTCAGAACCAGATTCTAGGGTTTATAGATAAGAAATCTCAGCAATCCGCTCTGTCATTTTAATTTTCATGGCAACTATCTGAAATTGGTACTATCATTAACCCCATCTTAAAGATAAGGTCTAGGGCTTAAAAAGGTTACCTGGCCTAATGTCCCAAAGCTCACTAAGTGGTAATTATCCCTGAGATACTGTAACCAAAACTAATGACATTCATCATCTAAGCATCTCTGTGATTGTTCCAATGGCGTCCTAACTTGAACGTATTCTTCAATGTTAACTTCCAGAGGATCCATTCCGCAGGCTGCGCTCCTTTACTCCAGTCCTTAAAAGGAGAAATACTGACACAGAAACGGGTGGAAGGAGAAGTCTCTCTCGGGACTGTCTTGCTCTAATGATGGGGTAAAATAGCCCAGGGCTTTCTCTGCTCAGTTTTTCCTGCCCAGAAAGGTTTCTTTTTCCTTGGCTTGCTCTTCCTGAGACTTTCTCTAACCAGATACAATATCTGGCCAAGAATTGAGTGGCTGTCAGACATAAAAGGAACGAAGTCATGTGTATCTGACCCGACTTTCAGAGTAGGAAGCCACTCAGTCTTTTTTTCAGAAAGAGCCATCTTTCTATTTCTGTCATGGCTCAAGTTTTAAAAAATTCAATGAAAAGAAAATATAACCTGCTAATTTACCATATCAAAACCTCCAGGGAAAAATAAAGATAGAGAAGAAAAGGGACAATACTTTCACCTAAAGTAATTAGATGGTATATTACGACAAGGCAGATTCATTTGTAAAGAGAAATATCCTCAAGTCTTTTATTAAGCACTTTCTAAATTAATAGAGATTTTTAAAAAAACAGGTAGGAACCACCTCTGACAGGTGAGTTCAGAGTACAATAATAAAATTAACAACTTAGTCCTTTTGTCATACATTGTATATCCTCTCACACGCTTATTTCTTAAAAAATTCTTATCAGAAAAATCTTTTTTTTTTAAAGAGTCTCATTCTGTTGCTGCTAATCTGCCATGATCTCAGGATAACCCACAGAAAACTCAAACTTCTGGGTTCAAACGATCCTCCTGTCTCAGCTTTCCAAGTAAGTAGGACTACAGGCACCCACAACAATTTTCTATTTTTCAATTACTTTCAGTAGAGATGGGGTCTCACTTTGCTTAGGCTGGTCTCGAACTGCTGAGCTCCAGCCATCAAGAAAGAAATTTCCTTTTCAGGCCAGGAGTGGTGGTTCATGCCTGTAATCCTAACACCCTAGGAAGATGGCAGAAAAATCTTAAAGGCTTAAAACTTAAGAGGATTTCTGCTCTTCCCATTTTTAACAACCAAAAAGTGAAGCTTCCAAATCCATCATCCACCAATCAAATATTCAAGTACCTAATACATGTCACATACCATGTATGCGCTGTAGAAGCACTTCTAGGGCCACAGTTTGGAGAGATAACCACCAATACCAATTAACAAAGCTGCTAGGAATTCAAATCCATGACAAGAATTTTTTTTTTTTTTTGAGACAGAATCTCACTTTGTCGCCCTCAGTAGAGTGCTGTGGCATCACAGCTCACAGCAACCTCCAGCTCTTGGGCTTAGGTGATTCTCTTGCCTCAACCTCCCAAGTAGCTGGGACTAAGGCACCTGCTACAACATCCAGCTATATTTTGGTTGTTTTTTGGCCGGGGCTGGGTTCGAACCTGCCACCCTCGGCATATGGGGCCAGCACCCTACTCGCTGAGCCACAGGCGCCGCCCCAAGAATTTTTTAATTCAAATTTCCTGGTAAAAAGTGTGTCATCTTCAAACAGAAACGCACTTAACAATATTGCATAGGAGTAAATCTGAAACCAGAAGAAATGAGTAACAGCTCAATACCTATTAAAAATAGATCAGCATGCGGACAGGCAGGAGTCTCAGAGAAAGATACCTCTCGCTGCAATCTTCCTCAGAGGGTCTAAGTCACATCACCTAATACTCAATACTCAGGCTCTGCTATCACAGGTAAAGAACAAAATATGACAGTTAAAAATAATTCCTGTAGTATTTTTGAAGTGCACATTATCATGAGAAACTTATTATCTGACAAAATACAGTACTATCACAAGAACATGAGATGCCATGGCTTAATGAAGAGTTAATGAGATTTCACCATTTCTTCCTAGACTATCTTTCCTTTAAGCATCATTTGATGATCTTAGGTATCAACAGTGAGCAGCTAAAGAAGAAGGGCCTTTCTCTGCGACCGCTGCCTCGTGGCAAATCTCCCACTGTCACAGCATGAGCTCACTTTTGTTTTTCCTTCTTAACTAAAAAATGAAACTTCCTGTATTTATTAGGAAAAAAAACCAACATTTGTTGAGCCCTGGGTAAAATCCACAACACACTTTTATGTGTGTTAGTTACTTTATTTGATCTTTATAATAATCTCATGAGAATGCAATTATAACACATAAGGATAGGGAAACGGGCACTCAGAAAGGATAACTGCTCAGATCACACAGCAGAAGACAGGAAATGGGGAGACTCAAACACTCAGGGAACTTCTAGCTGCTTCATCTATCACACAACCTTCCAAACTGCATGAAGAGATTACAGTGGTTGCCAGGGGTTGGTTAAGAAGGTAGATCACAGAAGATATTCAGGGCAGTGAAAATGCTCTCTCTTATGCTATAATAATAGATACATGTCATTATACATTTGTCCAAACTCACAGAATGTACACTGCCAAAAGTGAGCCCTAAAGCAAACTATGGATTTGGGGTAATTATGACACATCAATGTAGGGTCACTAATTTCACAAATGTACCAGTCTGGTGGGCATGTTGACAATGGGGGAATCTATGTAGTGTGGGGTGGGGGTATATGGTAAATCTCTATACCTTCCCTTCCTACCTACCTTAATTTTGCTGTGAACCTATAACTGCTCTAAACAACTGTCTTAACACAAAACAAAACAAAACACTGCAGAGGACACACACACAAATTCAGGCACATGGGAAAACACCACGTATGGGACGAGAAGATTTATTAAAGATGTCAACTGTTCCTAAGATAATTTATAAATTTGGTGGAAGGGGAAAAAAGTACACAATCTAATTTTAAATAATAAACATATATGAAATATGTGTGTATGTGTATATATGTATAACATACTGCATAAACAAAACAAAACAATTTCAGCAATTCCGAAAGGGGAAATGTGAAGGGGCCTGGACTTTACACATATTACCTTATAAAGCCTCAAGAAATTAAGTCAATGGTGCTGGTACATGAATAAACAGAAACAGAAAATCCTCAACAGCTGCAAATCCACGTACACTTGAGTCTTTAACAAATTATATTTCCTAGCTCTGTCGCCAAGGAGAATAGCAGACTGCATGAAGTCAGGGGTCAACCGCAGGAATGGATCCCAGAGATTCCAGACCAGGGAGCTCAAATCTATTCCCTCTCAGTCAGGACTCAGGTAACTGCTTGGACTAAGAACTCTTTCTGTACTTACTGAGCAGGACAGAACTGAAGACTCCAGAAAAAAAAATCAGGCTTGGATAAGGCAGCCTCGGACTTTAAAAATCTCACTGAGAATAGCAAAGATAAGCTTTTTACACCTGGTACTCTAGTCTGAATATCTGTGGCCTCCCAAAATTCCTGTGTTGAAATCCTAACCCCCAGTGGGATAGTGTGAGGAGGTGGGGCCTTTGGGAATGAAATTAGTACCCTTAGAGAAGAGACTCTTGTCTCTTCCATCATGTGAGAACACAGGGAGAATGTTGTAAAATAAATTTCTGCTATTTATAAGCTCCCCGGCCTAGGGTACTTTATCTAATAGCCTGAACAGAATAAGACCCCTGGCAGAGCCCTCTCTCCACAGGTAGGGCCAAAAGCACCTGCATGACCTCGGGGTCTGGTTGAGTCATTTCCCACTTTTTTATAAAAGTATGTACATTTTTCTATATCCTTTTGCATTAATAAAATTTTAGATTCTTAATGTAAGAACATAGAACAATGATTTGTATAAAATTGATGCCTACAAATATAATGTTAAAAGCTAAAATATTTTGATGAATTGTGATTGCCCAAAATGAAATCAGGCCAGGCATGGTGGCTCACATCTATAAGCCCAGTATTTTGGGAGGCCAAGGCAGGAAGATCACTTGAGGCCAGGAGTGCAAGAGCAACCTGGGCAACATGGCAAGAGCCCATCTCTACAAAAAAATTAAAAAAAAAAAAAAAAAAGCCAGGCTTGGTGGCCATGTCTTGAGTCCTGGCTTCTCAGGAGGCTGAGGCAGGAAGACTGCTAACACCCTGAAGTTTGAGGTTGCTGTGAGCTATGATGACACCACTATGATCTTAGCTAGGAATACTGTCATCACTAGCCTAGGCAACAGAGTGAAACCTTGTCTATAAATAAATGAAACAAAATGCAATGAAAGGAAACAAAAATGAAACAAACAGGTAACAAGTAAATAAGTCAATGGATATGCCTGTACTTACAAGAGAACGTGCGCGACGATGGCATTCACATCAAACAAGGTGTCAGTAGGAAATTCTCTGAGCAATATGTTGCCTCTAAAAATTTTAAAAGCATGTTACAGAAATCTCTCATTAGAATTCAATTTACCTTTCTATTTAGGTTAGGAGTTCTTTGATGTTAGAGCCCGCATCTTACCCCTGTCCCCCACACACCTACCAGAGTGCTGGTACATAATGCACGCTCATATTTATGACATATACACTCAGTAAATGCACTGACTTTTAAAAGCTTAGGCTCTGGACTTGGCATAAAGACTGGTTTAAAAAAAAAAACCTTGAGTCCAATATCAACTTTTTACCAACCTCTCTTTAACAACTACACATACAGATTCCCCCAAACTAGGCTGGGAAAAAGACAAGCAGGAGAGAAAGAAGGGGCCCCATGAGGAAGAGATGAGAGACAGGAATCTCTCCAGACTTTCCAGCCAAATCCAAAGGACCCGAGAAAGCTCAGCAGACTGACAAAGTCAAGTGCAGAGGAATCTGTAGCTGCAACACTGGCAGGTCCTTCAAAACAAAGGGATTCACATCATATCTAGACACAGACCTGCTCAGAACACTAAATTTGCTAACCAATTTACTAATTTACTAATGGATTTACTAAGCTAACCCGACTTACTTACCAGGCATGTACAGTAGGAGTTTACTTAAGAGTCTTACGTTATATTCAAAACACCCTGTGAGGAAGGTATTATTCTCCTCATTTTATAAATAAAGAAGTTAAAGTGCAGAGATGTCAGGCAACAAATCTGACTTCATTTTCTGTCAGGCTTCACGTGGTCCCCACTACATACAACCTTATGCTGGCCTAGGGACAGGTATTTTACATACTGGAATATTCTAGAAGTAGAGCTTTATTTTTATCCATCACACTCAAAAGAAAAATTGCTTACCTGAATAAATATGCTTTCATTGAATCCTTTTCTTTTCCACAGTATCTTGAAGTTTCTTCTTTGACACAATTAACCTTTAAAAGATTGTATTTAAGGTTTAGCATTTACATGTATCAAAAGGTCAAATTTCCTGGTTAGGGAAACAAGAAAGAGAATTAAACATTACAGCTTGCCTCCAGGTCAAATTTTGTGTTTTACTTTTTTCCTGATTTGGATGCTATAATTACTCACTTGTTCAAGTGTGTGATAACCCAGAGAAAGGTGCCCTTTCTGCACCTAAGCGTTATAGTTAATTATTCCTAAGAGCTGATATTTAATTCAATCTTATAGAACAAGTAGGAGGTGACGAAGCGAGGAGGGACACACTGGAGGGAAGACAAGAAGCAGGACCGGGAGTCAGGGAGCAGGAAGGAGGTGCTGAGGGGGTTCCTGACAGCATCTCAGCCTCAGCGGGTAGAACTCCGGGTAGCAGGCACCGCTGGTTTCCTAACCCAAATCCATCCTCCTGTTTTGTTGTGCAACAGAACTTTGCTAAACGTAAGTACCCCATTAAAAGGCTTTGCTGGACTCCCCAACAGCCAGGAATGGCCAAATAGTGCCAGGAACGTTCCCGGGATGGAATTCCTAGAAGCCTCTTAACCAGGGGGGTGACTGACACTGTGGCTCTTGCTCCTTCTTTTTGACCAAAAACAGACAAGACCACCAGCATACCAGCCGTGATCACAAACAGAAGGCATCTTTAAGGAAGAAATAGCTTGCTAAGGATGGCGAAACAGAAAGGATGGACTGGAGTCCCTGATGATGCCAGAGCAGCCGTACTGGGCCTGCATTAATCATTTGATAAGTAAATACAAGGACAATAAAAAAGTAAAAATATTAAAAATACAAGGACAATCCTGGTGGCACAATGAAGATAAAACAGAAGGCAGAAGAGCACAAACTAAGGAGGTGGGTTAAAAGAAAACCACATTAGTGTAGGTCAAGGACGACGGGGCCTGAACACGGCCAGGCGGAAGTGGGGAGAAGAACAAGAAGAGAGTCACAGAGTGTCCAGGTGGGACAAACGGGCAGCCACCACGTAACCACCCAAAACCAGGGCTAGAAGAAGGTACGTGGTTTTGCACTTGGTAAGGTTTTTGTCTGTTTGAAAACAGGGTCTCTTACTGTTGCTTAATTTTAGTGAGAGTTTGAGAAAGCACATGAGAAGAGGGAACTGACATTCAGAACAGATGTCAGGAACAGAGAAGTGGGACTAAAAGAAAATAGCCTCGACCAGTAAGTGATTCCAGTGTCTGTAATTCAAGAAAAACTTTCCAGTCAGCTCAACATACATTTGACCACCTCCAATATGTCAGTCACTGTTCCAGGCACTGGGGATACAGGTTAAGTTCCAAATACCAATCTACTGTTAGAACTTACATTCTAAAAGCAGAGATAATTAAAAAACTAATTAATATGTAAGTCAGTGCTATAATTTTAAAAATTATAAGGAGATAGTATGTGATAGGGTGGTTTAGATAGGTAATCAGGGAAGGCTTCTTGAAGGAGGTGACACGAAGAGAACTCAAGTAGTGAAGTAATACACACACACACAGAGACAAGCGGCAGAGACAAGCTCTACGCAGAAGGGAAACACCTGCTAACGCAGCAGTTCTCAGCCTGTGGGTTGCAACTCACAGGAACTGTATTAAAGGCTCACGGCATTAGGAAGGTTGAGAACCACTGTGCTAAAGCGTGGTCATAACAGCACCTCTAGCAGGTTCGAGTAGCAGAAAGATGACCAGGATGTGTCAGGAACAAACTGAGCGAGACAGAGGGGCAGAAAACAAGATCAGAGAGGAAGCCAGAAACCATAACAGCAGGAGCTTCAGTTTTCTAGTAACTAACGGGAAGCCTTTCCAAACAGGGTGGCAAGGTGTCCTGATACAGCTGACTACGAATGGAGAAGTCTGTCGGGGGACAAGCGGAGGAGGAGATTGAGGGGACGTGATGACAGGAGAAGTCCAAGTGCAAGTACAGAAACTGGCCAGATTCACAAAGTTTTCACTGCAGAACCTGGTAATAGATGGATTGGTTATGAGAGAAAGAAGAGTGAAGGACGATGTTTTTGTTTGAAAATCTCATTTAATACAGTGACACAGACAAGAGTGAGGCAGCATCTCCCCTGCCGCAGATGACAGAAGGGCCTGGAAACAGCCATGGCGACAGCAGCTACAACCAGGCTGGTCTGAACCCGGCCAGTGACACTGGAGCCGAAAAGGAAACAAAAAGAAAGAAAAAAGCAGCCGGGCAGACTCAACCCAGGATCAGCCTGTGAAGGCGAACTCCTTGCCAGGAGAGAGGCTGCAGGAGGTAACAGAGGCCCTGGAGCCGCTCTTAGTGGGTCGGGGACCCCCCCCCCCAAAGCCATGGAGGTGGCAGGCAAGGAGAGCTGCCTGTTCTGGGATACACAGCCATCCCCAAACTTCGTGAAGTGGTGAACACCCACAGTCTCATGGAGCCTGACAAAAACAATACCCACCAGAAGCCCTGTCCCCTGCCCCGGGGCTTCACCTGAGGCTCCCTGGGCCTGGGGGCTGAGGGACCATGGTGCACTGAAAGAGCTGTACACCCTCCTGAGTGAGTACCGTGTGGAAGGTTACACCAACATGTTCCGACGCGGTTCCCCAGGAATTTCTCTGGTGGGCTCTCCGGCCACTAGGCCGGCTCCCCCAGAGGCACTGTGGTGCGTGGTCTCAAGCTGGAAATCAGCTGCATTTATTAGCACCATCTCAGCAAACATCCATGTCTGTGACACAGAGAAGATGGTGGAGATGAACTTCCTAAGAGTACACAAGAAGCTGTGCTCTGGCTCGGCACACAGCTCAGTGGTTAGGGTACTGGCTGCATACTCCGGGGCTGGTGGGCTCAACCCCAGCCCAAGCCTGCTAAAACAATGACAACAACAACAAAAAATAGCCAGGCGTTGTGGCGGGCACCTGTAGTCCCAGCTACTTGGGAGGCTGAGGCAAGAGGCCCAAGAGTTTGAGGTTGCTGTGAGCTGTGAATCTACCAAAGGCAACATGAGACTCTGTCTCAAAAAAAAAAAAAAAAAATGAAGAAGTAGCAGCAGCAGCTGTGCTCCAACAGCGTGGTGGCTCCAGTCCCGATCTGAGAGAGAACCAGGCAGGGCCACCTGCACAGCATTTCCCAAGCTGTTTACACTGCCAGCTGGTGTGACCAAAGCCTGTGGTATCAGCGGGTGCTGCCATCAGTCCCATGGAAGCTCACTGAAGCTCTCCCACCTGAGTGGAAATGTGACCATCCAGCGTACAACAAAACTCTACCAACTGCCAAAGACTCCCAAGACAGCTGGGCTGTGACCAGTAGGAACAAGGGACCTTCCAGTAGTGCACCAGCTCCTCACCAGGTGCCTGAGGCAGCTCACCTCACCCCACTCGGGAGTCAGGAGTCAGGAACCAGGAGCAGGCGGAGCACTGGTTCCACCCCAGGAGAGTATCATCCACCTCACGATGGGGAACGTAAGGAGAGGGACGGGTTTCCTGAGCTTTTACACGCCTCCCTCCACCATCATGAACCATCTGATCCACCAGAGTCTCAAAAGTTTGTTTATTCTTTCTACAATGTGCAAACCCAGACCCGTCTTCTAAATCCCACGAGTGATGCCCTTGTTCTTGCCAGAACGAAAGGGTTAGACATGTTCAATGTGCTGGATCTCTTGGAGAACAAAACCTTCCTGGAGAGGCTCAAGTTCGGCGGAGGAGATAGAGACCTGCAATTATCTCCCCAACTGCAAATGCCAGCATGGGGGCAGAGAAGGCTCAGCTGGTGCTACAGTAACCAGTCACCAGTGAGATTCTGGATAAAGCCACTGAGAATTCCAACCAGGAAACAGAACCCCACAAATTGGTCCTTTTTCACAAACATGAGAATCTCTATGAAAGGGAACAGAGCTGACCTGGCTTTACCAGACAGCAGTGAACTTGACAGTCGTATGGCAACAGCATGGGCTGTGTGATGTCAACTTTAGCCGTGTCTCTGGTCCCCCTGTTTCCCAGTTAATCACATCCTCATGCAGCTGTGATCATGGGAATGTAACTGCAGAAAACTAGCTCAGGATTGGCACTATGGAGTTAACAGGTGAATAATAAAAGTGTATGTTATATATGTAAGTATTTTAACTATCTTTCATGTTCCAAATGTACTTATACACACTTATAGGTACATATACACACATACTAACATAGCTACACTAGACTTCTTTTGGTTATGCCGTGTATAATGTATCTTTCTCATTTGTTTACTCTGAAGACTCTGAAGCCTTTATTTCAGTGGCATTTCTAAGCAGCACCCTGTTGGATTTGCTGGTTGAATTCAGCTTGATGATCTCTGTCTTAACTAGAACATGTAGTACATTTACATTTTAGTGTTTCCTTTATCTACCTCTGTCTCTTGCAATCTTAACTTCTGGAAGGTCTTAAATGCTTCTTTTTATGAAGTCTTTCCCAATACTACCTATGACTTTCCACCTCAAAAATTAGATACAGGCTTTCTTTCCTTTAAATCTCTACTGTGCTTTATTTGTATCTCACCTATTTATAGTGATCAGGTTCTGCTATTTTAAAATAAAATAACCCGTGAATATGTTTTATTCTCCTTATTTAGGCTATAAACTCTCCACAGGAAAGGACTGAGTCTTTGACTTCACTCTATCCAAAAGAAGACTAAGTGCTGTAAGCTCATTTCAATCTCACAAACACGTATTTATGGAGCTTCTGCCATGCGCCAAGCACTGAGCTAGGTACCAACACGGGTCTGTCTGATGCCCCGTCTCCCTTCCAAAGAAATCAGCATCCTCACCATAAAATAGTGTCCGTTCTGTCAGTTCATAAGTGCAACAGCCTGGGCAGGAAGCTTAATATCAATATTCTACTACAGTTACCAGATGCACAGTTATTAGTCTACCAGTTACTAGACAAATAGCGTAATTACCTCTTTTCAATTTCACACCAACCCAATATTTAATTTCTAAATTTCAGCTTAAAATTGTATTCAAAGATCCTTGGAGATGAGTGTCATTATTTGAAATGAGACTTCTACAAATGTAAAAATGGCACATTAAAAAAATAGGATTTTTTAAAAAGTCACATAGTCAAGGTTAGTTAACCTTTCTCTGTCTCCTGTCCTGGGAAATGTAGCTAGAGTCTGAGAGAGACGAGCTCTCTCTCTTAGTGAAGGGAGGCGAATGAACTAGGAATACCCACACACAACGCCAGGCGAACACAAATCCAAAAGAATCTAACCTCAGGGCTTACTTCGCATTCAGCTTCCCGGGGTACAAAGTCTACATTTAAGTTAAAGAAAAGGCTACACAGCTATCTGATCCACGATGCATGGGCAAATTTTCCATAATACTCCATGGAAAGTTTGAACAATTTTTGAGAAAAAAAATTAAATAATGTCAAGTTGAGTTGTTCTAACTTTGCTTTAAAAATAAATGTTTTAGAAAAACTTAAACCTAAGCAATTATAAAGACTAAGAAGAAAAACATTCTTCAGTTACCTCAATTTTGTTACTTCCTTTTGTACTAATAAAAATTTAGTAAATCGCTGAATTTTGAACTATTAAAAAATATTTGTCAGGCAAAATGAAACATCTAACTATAGGTTTGAAAGGTGACACAAAAGGCCCAATAGTATGATTTACAAAAAAAGGCAAACTCTAAGCTAAAAACTTGTAACAGCTTTTTTTCCCCTCTTGTGTACCATGTAATACAATAATCTGAAATTATCTTTCTGTGCTTTTATTTTTATGAAATAAAATATTCTTTCAGTTTGGAAAAAGACATAGACCAAAAGGACTGTAATACACTCAGTCTTAATCCATATACAGTGTTCAACATGTCACTAATTTTACTAAATGTAAATATCTTTCTACCTTTGCAACTGAAATTCCATAGTCCTGGAGAGGTTTAACCGCCTCTTTTAGTTCTTCAAGAAATACAGATGTACTTGGAGAACCTAAAATAAGATATATTTCATGAATGTTTACAAATCAATTGTCCCTTAAAAAAGATGAATTTTTAAAATTAGAGCCAAAATATGCAGACACAGAAGAATATATTTGTCCAACTAGCCTACAACAACCAATTACTGACACCCCATTACATATTTTCATGCTTATTTCCCTATTGCCTCATTATTCTTGTTTCTAATGTTTTTATCACGATATAATTTTGCAAGTGACCTGAAAATCTTTCTCAAACAAGATTATGATAAATCAATGTTTAATTTAAACCTAAATTTGTCACTATTCTTCCAGGTTTAATGGCATACACAGAGCACATCTACATGTACAAACTTTGAAGATGATTTTTAAATATAATTATCAAGACACAATTATAATAAAGAAAGCAACAGAAATGGGGATTCAATTCACTAATTCCAAGAAAAGTATTTTTAAGACATGAAGACCTAAGTAAGACTATTACAATTAGTTACGTTCAACAGGATATCAGCTAATTTGAATAATTAATGATATAACTAAAGCAGAGTATTAAACTAAAGCATTACTAACACAGTTAAAGTTTT